AAATGTAGGAACATATTGATGTTACTTGATTTTATTGACCCATCATCTGTCTACTTTTCTGTCAGTAGATAATTTTTCAACACAGTAGTCAATTCCCGTTCTGTTCTGTCTTTCAATATCATCAACCTTTTTAAGGCAATGAATATTTCACTTTGCACCAAAGAGTGTTTGAATTTCAGAATCTGGAACATAAAATAGTGGGCCTCCCTGTTTGGTCGGATCGTAAGAGAAAGCAGACACGGGGTAGAGAAGCCCCCTTCTCAGGAGGGACAGCTCCGCGTCAGTGCGGCTGGCGGCCAGGGCCACTAGCGTTCACAGCGGCTAGTGCGCCTCTGGCCCAAACCCCGTCCGGTTGACCAGTATTTGCTCCGGGAAGATCGACAATGCTGCAGCAGTACAGCGAGATGTTCCCTGAAGAACTCTTAAACACTTTTGCTCCAGGAATTTCAGGGATCGGTTCTTCCAAGTAAGAAAGATTCTGCTCCGTTTTTTGTAAAAAAACTCGCGTATCCCAAGTTCACTGATTTCGACACCAGCTACACTGTGTCCCAGGGCTGCAAACTACTTCATCTCCACTGCTTTCCCACAGAGAGGAAGAAACACTCTTAGTCCCCACACCTGGAAGGGATGTATCCAAACGCTTCTTTAACAGCTGATGTCCTTCTGCTTGGTGAAGCTCAGTGTCGCCTTCACCCACTTGTCTTGCCACTCTCCCAGGGTCATGACGTGGCTCTTCTGTGCCTCGCCGTCAGGGTGCGCTCTAGGATCGAGGGAAGTTCTTGACTCATTCACGGCTTTGCAGATACTGCTGTCTTATAGGCTGAAACCCCAGTGTCTCGCCGGTCAGCCCCCCACTTCCAGCCACTGCCACCTCACGGCTGCTCCCATCTCCTCTCCACCGCCTACCTTTTGTTAAAAAGATTCATCTTTACCCAGTGGATTATGCCAGCACTTAATTTGCTAAAATTTTATTTAGAATTGTTTTCCTCTGTTCATGCAAGACATTGGTCTCTGGCTTTCCTATAGCTCCTTACCTGGTTTGATATTGAGGGAACGCCCCCACCCTTAGTTTTCTGGAAGAATCTGTGATGAGATGGTACTTCTTGCATAAGTATTGCCGATTCAGAGTCGAGCTCGCCTGGGCACGCCGGTTTCTCTGTGGAAGGCGGTTGTCCTCCTGCGCAGGCGGCTTCGCCCCGAAGGAGCTGCGGCTGGAAGGAGCTGCCTGTCGGCGATGTTCTCGCCGCCGGGGCCGCCGCTCCTGTTCCTGCTAACGTAGCAGGGCGGCGGGCTCCAGCGGGAAGTGGCCTGAGTTCGCTCTCGCAGCCTGCTGCTTTCCTCTCTCGTCCTCCCCCTTGGCGTGGCTGTGCTGATCCCCTCGCCTCTGCTTGCTTTAGTTTGCTTTTTTTCTGATTTCTTAGGGCACCGTATAAACTGAGACGACTCATTCCACACCCTTCTCTTATTTATTTCTTTATTTCTTGGGTGCAGGGTCTCCCTACCTAGCTTAGGTTCACAGTGGTGCTCCTTCTCAGCGCCCCCCCCCCAGCACTGGGATTACAGGCGTGTGCCACCATGTCGTTTCCGTGGCTCAGCACACAGCGTGCAGTACCAGGGCTCAAACCCGGGTCGTGGTGCCATACGGGCACTTGGACCACTGAGCTGTCGCCCAGCCCCACGCCCCTCTCTTCTCCTATAGAGGCTTACAACTGTGAACTTTCCTTTCTCCTCAGAACTGATTTTGCAACATCCTGCACGTTTTCTTACACTATCTTCATTTTCATTCAATTGAAAATATTTTCTTATCTCCGCCTTTGATTTTCTTTATTGGCCCATGAGTTATTTAGAAGTTAGGAGTTACTTGTTTCATTTCCAAATTTTTGAGGACTTCCTACAGTCTGCTCTGTTACTGAATCCTTACTTAATTCTGTGCAGTTAGCCATATTCTAAATGCACTGAGTTCTCTTACATTCATCAAGCCTTCTCTTTTGGGCCAGAGTGTGGTCTCTTGTGGTAAGTGCTCAGTGTGCACTTGGGAACGTGGATTCTGTCAATGTGTGGCATTCCTGTCACTGCTGGTGAGGTCAGTCTTTGCAGTTATGGGTTGAGCATGCCTAATCCAAAAATCTGAAACCTGAAACCCAAAACTTTTTGAGGGTGATGTAAGTCTAGCAAGTATTCCGGGATCTGGCGGAAGCATCCGCGTGCGCGGGCGTTTTGGGTAACGGGTGCCCACTTGCGCTGTTGCTGGGGTCAGCGCTCCCAGCAGTGCTGAACTGTCCCTCCCACTTGTGCCCTGGCCTCCTCAGATCTGTGCCACCTGGGTGCCCCATCCCTGTGGCGCTGCCTCCTTTGGTGGCCCTCATGCCACACCCACTTCCGACGGCCCCACGTGGGTGGCAGTGCTCCGCGCTGTGGCCAGGGTTGCCTGCTGTCTACCTGCCCTTTTCTTCTGAAGCTGTTTGTCTCTGCATTTCGAGTGTCCTTTGCAGGCAGCCTGGCAGTGGCTCTTGGTCCTTTCTCTTTGATTGCTGGCATCTGTGCCTTTTAACAAAAGTGGTTCTGCCACTCACATCCAAGGTGATCCTGGCAGCTGTGGGGACGTCACCACTGGCCTGCTCGTAATCTGCCTCAGCTGTTTCCCGTGTGTGCTGTTTCTGTCTGGTTTTGATTTGCTTTATGACTTAATTGTGTCTGTCGCTTATCGTTTAAAACTTCTTGCCCCTTGAGTTGTGCCAAGGAGCGCAGTGCAGTCTCTAAGTGTCACCATCCGTGCAGGTGGCCCTGGCCACGTGCCGACCACGCGTGGCGTGCGTGCTCTGGTTCGAGCCTGCGCTGCTGTCTTCACACGCTGCACGTTCACACGTGTGGTGCGCTCCATTGTACAGCGTTGAAAACCTGCTTATCTTTAACAAGTTCCTGACGAGTGGGGAAACAACCCATTTGCTCAGAATTATGAATGCCAGCGTTCTCATCCCTTCTGTAGACACAGATCTACACCTAGTATCATTATTCTTGAACATTTGCTTTTTCCTCTCGCAGTACTGGAGATGACACGTAGGCCTTGGCACTGAGCCACGTACCCAGCCCTCTATTTATTTTACGGACTGCGGTGGATCTTCCTGCCTCAGCCTTCCAGAGTGCTGAGATTGCAGGTAGAGGAAGGCTGCTCAAATCATGGCCATCAGGAAGCAGAGAAAGAAGGGAGACGTGGGGAAGGAGGCGGCCCTGCCGCCCGGCCCAGGGACCCCCTTGCACAGCAGCAACTCCTTTGTGTGTGGAGTACAGCACCCCA